TTCTATGATTCTATGATCAGCGGGTCATAGAATCATAAAATAATCTCCAAAAAACCCACATCAGGATGCGCACAGCCATGGCAAAATCTTGAGTTGATTGATGCCATTAAAGCTCTTCTCAAGTCAATGGACTCAAGATGATTTGCTGTGCACAAGGTGGTGTGATCAGCCTGGGAAGACTGAGCTATTTATGAGCAGGAGGAATAAATTTCTGCATTCCTAGTACACAAAATGCACCCCAAGGGAGAGCAAGGATGAGCTGTGTGCCCCCAGACCCAGGGGAGGCAACTCAGGGACCCCCTGGAGCTCCACTTTTTTGTCTCCTGCAGACATCTTCAGTGACTTCAATGACTTCAGGTCCTGCTCCTCGCTGACTCTCATAGTTTTCATTTTCTGCATGCTTCATTTCGATTGGGATCCATTCTCCTTTCTTGCCCCTACTTTTACTCCTAGGTAGCTTGGGCTAATTGGCTCCTACATCTGCCTTTCCCTCACTTTTCCTTGTGTTGGAAACCCAGGGGTTGTTTCTCCACGCTTTATCTCCTGCCTGGAAAAGCTTGTTCAGTTGAATGACAAAAGGGTATAAAAACTCAGGCAGTTAAAGCGCAGAGAAAACAACAGTTTGAAAACCTCCCAGACTTGTTTGCTGGGTTAATAACTGAGCAGAAAAGTCTGAGTGAAAAGCCTCATTAAAAAAGAGAGAAGAGAAGCCAGGACTGAATGGGGGTTGTGATAACAGGGAGCAGAGGATGGGCTCTGGCAGCATCTCACACAACTTTCCGACTCATCATTTTGGGGAAGCATCAATGTGTCTATAGGAGCTTTTCTTCCAGGCAGAAGCATTTGTGCCCTTTCTTATTACTCCTTCTCTCACTGTAGTTCAGGTTTGACACATCTTCCCAGCCAGGGATGTGAGGTTTCTTCTGCTGGTTCAGAATGAGTGTGAATACATTACCAGCCAAGCCACAGAGTTCTTTGCTTCCCAAATCATCAGGTGCCTTTATATGTTTTAAGCCCCTTAGTTACCTTTGAGGCTGATCACCAAGCACATTTTAAAGATCTTCTTCAGTTCTGAAAGAGAAGATATGAACAGCAAGCAGTCAAGGATAACTTCTTGGAGTTTAAGTTAACTCTTAGCAGAATCAGGCTACCTGGCAGCAGAACTCTTAGATCTGGGTGCTGTGAGCTCTTTCCAAGGAGGTGCCGAGTCCCAGCAGCTTTCTGTGCTCCTCAGGAAACCACCTTATATCAACCTGTGGCTCTCTCAGAGGTGGAGATGGAGAGTGTATCTGAGCAAGCTCAGACCCTGTGGGCTTAGCTGTGCATTTCATTCACCCAACCCCACTATAAAGTGCATTGGATTTAAGCAGTTAAATACATTGCAGCTCCATTGAGTCAGCTGCTCACTTCTTCTGCTTGAAGGTCCTAATACAGTGTGAGGATTAGGTGCTTGTGGTTGACTTTGGACTCCTCTCGTGTGGTACTGATCATCCAAATATGGCCCAATAAATTTTTCCTGTGTTTCTAAACCTTTTTCAGCATTTCTAAATCTGAAATTTGATCTTTCCTATCACAGATTCCACACGGGTAAAATTCATGCAGAGCTTCATCTTCCTGCCACATTAATGTTGGCAAGCACTACCAGTTGGAAGGCAGCACACTGATGTTAGTCCTGGGTCGAGTGGACTCCAGCTCTGGGGAGGTGCATCTTGAATCCTGGGGTCAGTTTTGGGCCCCTCACCCCACAAAGGACCTTGAGGGGCTGGAGCGTGGCCAGAGAAGGGCAACGGAGCTGCTGGGGAAGGGTCTGGAGCCCAAGTGTGGGGAGGAGCAGCTGAGGGAGCTGGGGGTGCTGAGCCTGGAGCAAAGGAGGCTCAGGGGAGACCTTCTGGCTCTGCACAGCTCCTGACAGGAGCCTGGAGCCGGGGGGGGGTCAGGCTCTGCTCCCAAGGGACAGCACAAGGGGAAATGGCCTCAAGTTTTGCATCAGAGGAGGTGCAGGTTGGACATGAGGAAAACTGTCTTCCCTAAAAGTGTTGTCCAGGGCTGTGCCAGGCTGCCCAGGGCAGTGGTGGAGTCCCCATCCCTGGAGGGGTTGCTAAGCTGTGGAGAGGTGGTGTGAGGGACACGGGGCAGTGGGGACCTGGAAGCGCTGGGGGAATGGTTGGACGTGATGATCTTACAGGTGTCCTCCAACCACCACGATTCCATGCTTCTGTGACATTTAAAACTTGCAGCTCTGTTTGCCACAGCACTGTCTTCTTCCCAACAAGGGATTTTTGTGGCTCCAAGGAGGCCCAGCCTTGCATTCCTGGGCTTCCAACCCTGACAGATTCTGATCTGTTTTAGCAGAGGACTTTAGAGCCCTAATGGCTCAACGGTTGGACTTGATGATCTTGGAGGTCCCTTCCAACCTAAATGATTCTATGATTCTATGATTCCCATGCAGCTCTGGGTTGAAGGGAAACTTGGGGCTGCTCTGAACTCCTCATCTTTTTCCTCTGTCTTCACATGAAGTGTATTTTCACCTCATCCATCTTCAAACAGAGAAGCAAGGAGCCTAATTTGCTTCTTTGTAACGTTGCTCCACTCTTAGTAATTTCCCAGGATAAAAGAAACGAGTAAAAAAAAATAAACCCAAAAACCTAAACTGCTGGAGAAAAAGAACAAACAAACCCAGCAGATTTAGTGGAATTCTTCTGTTTGTCAGATGTGAGGCTCCACTTGCACAAATAATTAGGAGTTGTACTATGTAGAGCACGCTTAGCATCAAAGTAGTCACAAATGCCTCCTATTTTCCCCTCAACAGTCTCGAGGGTAGTGAAAGCTGTCAAAAATCAAAGCAGCTGCCTTGTCTGGGAAGCACAGAAGCCCTTTTTTGACTTTCTCCAAAAATACAAATATTTTCAAAATAATTGACAGAGGAGTTAATCAATTTTCATCTGATTTAGCAAAGATCACGCGGGCTGGAGGTAACAGGAGCATCTCGACTGATAGCAACCAGATCAATATTGGGATTTTTAAGCCCTAAAAGCAAACAGCAGCTGTCAGGAAGGTGTAACTCTACAGAAGAAGGTGTGAGTTCTCCTCCTTGCCATGCATCCTCTGGACCATTTCTACACAAGTGCCTTCATGAAGTCCAAAGCTCAGCAAGAGGATGAGTCAAATCACTCCACCAGCAAACCAGGCAGACCCAGCCTCCTACAACAGCTGAGATGATCTGCAATATTTCTGGTGGGGTGTTGTGCAGGAATGGTTTAGAATTGGGATCTAGACCTCAAAGAATCATAGAACCAACCCTACCAAGTCCACTGCTAAACCATGTCCCTAAGCACGGTATCTATGTGACTTTTAAACGCATCCAGGGATGAAGGGAGAAGAAAGAATTCATGCAAGAAACACTTTCATAAGTATGAGAGTCTCTGCTGGCATCAATGACTTCAGCTTTTTGGTTCACACTCCACTTTTAATGTTCTTTTTCCCACACAAACCTGTGATTTTCTGCTCTGTGCCTGGGTCATGGATGGTGACCACGCTAGGAACTTCTCCATGGCCCAGCCCTTTAGAAGCCAAGTGAATACCACCCCCCTGGGAAATCCCAGAGTGGGTCTCAGACCTGCCCACCTTAGGGAAAAACCTCATCAACCTCCTGCTTCTCAGGGTGTTGATTCAAACCCCAACCCTGTCAACAGCCTAATGGCAAGGGCTGGTCTTCTCCAACACAATGAAGGCTTCTCACATCTAACATCTGCTTCCCCATCGTTCCTTCCACACCAGTGCAGAGGCCATTGTGTTCCATACCTGTGCATAGTCCCTTCTGGAGGTCTAGACATGGAGATAGAAATACAGCTTCAGAGGAAACAGAACTTTCAGCCAGGTCAGGTGTGTAGGCTGACAAAACCCTTCAGCAAACTAAAGCCAAGGTGAGTTCTACCAGGGCTATTTTTTTTCAGATTTTAGCTTATTTTCAGCCAAATTGCAAATTTATAGGCATAGGAAAAAGCTCTGGAGGATAAGGTGTACAAGGAAGTACAAATGTGATTTGCATTTCAACAAAATATAACAAATCAATAGGTTTTGGGGAGTGAAATGATCCTCTTGTGATTTGTGGTGGGATGAAGAGGAAATCCACTGTGGCAGTGGTGAGGGGTTGTTCTGTACTTGCCCATATCAAACTATCAGAGGTCGTTGCTTTCCTTCCATTTTCAGGGTACCCCATTACTGATTTCTTCCAATTAATTCATTCCCATACTGTTAATTGTTGAGCTGTATCTCTTAGCCTCAAAATGGCACAGGAAAGAAGTTCTCAGCTCTTGTAGCATCACAGAATCACAACCTGCTTCATACTTCCCTGGGAACATCTGAAGAGCTCCACATCATTCAGGGGTCTTGCTGGGTGTGAATAATGGGTCATTTGTGAGGGTCCACACGTATGCTCTTGATTTTTGATATAAAACCAATCTAGGATATACCTTTTGTATATATTTTGATAAAAATCTGTTCCAATTACTCCCAGTTTTCACTTGGACACTTGAATTTCTTCTATTAGCTGGCCAGTCATGGGGGAGGGATACTCCAGTCAATCTCACACACAGCAAAAACAATCAAACACTCTGTTAATACCCTATAAAAACTGTATTCCTTTTTTTTTTTTTAAATGCACTACAGATTTTTCTTTAGATCTCTTGACTTGAGCTGTTCTCCATTAACATTAATCAGCTTGAAATTGTTCTTTGATCTGTTTGTCCGGACGCAGAGCTGCGTCGTGCTGCTCCTCCAGCTTTTAAATTAGCACACAGTAATCACAAAATTCTTCATCAGATGTGACATTTCCATCATACTTCACAGGTCCTGAGAATAACAGGCAAGAGTTGTCAGTGGTTTTGCATCTTTTAAGCTGTGTATCCTATTCCTACCTGGGGTCACCTCCTTATCCTTGTAAAGCAAGGGATGCTTTGTGTGGTGCTTGTCATCAAAGACTGGATTATATCCTAATTTTTTTATCTGTCCTATATGAAAATGAATCAACTGTGTTAACATTTCTTTTTGGACTTGCTGCAGAGGATGCTGTGTATCTGGACGACGAGAAGGAAAGGGAAGAATATGTCCTGAATGATGTGGGGATTGTTTTCCATGGAAACATCAACGAGATAAAGTTGAGAAGCTGGAGTTATGGTCAGGTGAGCTCTTCAAACCTGCTCTGGCTGCTCTCAGCAAGTGGGTTGACAGCAGGCTGTGGTGGAGACTGTGGGCTCTGGAGTGCATTATTGGTTTCTCCTTCAGAAAGGCAAGGGGCAGAATTTTAAAGTTGTAGGAAGTGGGTGTACAACTAATCCAGCAATGGTATAATACCAAATATTTAAAAGTCTTGTTTTAGGAGTGTATTTCAGATGCTAAGAGGCTGAGTGTTGACATTTATCAGCCTTGGCTGAGGTTTCCACAGCTCAGCAGCATTTCTGCTGCCACGTTATTGCTGCCTCAGGATCAAACCCTTTGGTGTAAGAGTGGAGAGATTATTTTTTTTCCCCCAGAAATACGTTGTGTTGCCTTTTGATTTTTCCTTTTACTTCTAGCAACTTGATGGAAATTCTTCTCCTCTGCTCAGGTGAGGGGAGGATCAGCTTGTCACAGGGTTTCTGTGGCAAACTGGGATTTAATCCCAGGGTTTTCCTTGCTACAGTGACAAACTTCTCCCTTTGCTGCCCTGGACTTGACACCATCAGTTCCAGTGGCCTCTTGCAGCTGGCGGGAAACACCTCTGGCCAAGCTGATGTGTGGGCTTGGTGAGCCTGCAGTAATACCAGATTCCTATCATTTGCTTGCCTGTTTTACCTCAATTTGTAGCACTAACCAGCCTGCAAATCCCTAGGGGATGAAAGAGTTAAGCTGTTGTTTGAGAACAGGGAGGAGGCAGAACCCAAATGTGGAAAACTAACCCTAGCTGTCACCCAGAGGGGCTTTGAAGGGCAGTTACTGGACTGCTCCTTCCACCTCCTGGATTTTCACAGCAACACAATTAAGAAGGTATTGAATTATTTCCTTAAAACAATGAGGGATCCACTCAGTTCTCATGCCACAGCTTAGCAGAAGGGGCCTTCTTGCTTCTCCTCAGCTCAAGGCAAGCTCAGAGCTTGGGCTGGATGGGTTGCCAGCACGATGCTTGCCCTGGAGAGCTCTCTGAACTCCCACCTCTCTTCTTTCCTTATTTCAGGCTGCAATTGCATCTTTTTTTTCCCTGCAGCAGCACTGCCTCAGGGAGCTCCTGCCCCTGCACCGTTCCTGTGGTTGTATGTGGGGTCTGACTGTCATCCCTGCTGAGAGAAGAAGAGCCCTTAAAGAAGAGATGGGGGAAGCAGTTCCATCAACTGATGGTGCCTCTGCTAGACGTGCAGATCCTGAGGCCAAAGCTGGGTGTGCATTTAAGTTGACCAAAAATGCCCCCTCCTGGCCCTTCCTTCCCCCTGCAAGCTCTCCTGCACTGAATCAGGCTGGAGAGCTGCTCTAGCTCAATAACTACCTCCTTGATTTATTTTTTTCACTCTTTTTTTCCCCCTCCAGGTTATTTTTTGGCCGTGCTCAGTTCCTAAATTTGGGATTCGCTCCATGACAGATGCAAGGGGGGAGGGAGAGAGGGGAAGGAGTGGCTGGAGGTGGACAGTGCTGCTGAAGCCAGCTGCTGGATTTATGTCCTAAGATGCTAAATTAATGGCCTGTGGTGGCTTGGCCTGAGGTGCTTATATTCTGCAAATCTGGCACCTTCCTGACATGAGCACCAGCCTCCCTGGAGAAACTGCATTATTTATTTGGCTTTGCTAGGAGGTAGCTCTGTCTGGGGGGGTTAGGGCTGCTCCGTGTCCCTTTGTCATGTACTTTCATTCCTCTGTTGTCTGAAATTGGAGGACCTGATTTCCACACTGTGCTGCACCTTTTTTTATCACTTGCCTGTGTGAAAACCGTGGCAGATGCATCTAAAGGGGCCCAAGCCAAGAGTTTTAATGGAATGGATCATTTTGCAGGGGTGTAACAGACATCTCAAACTGCAAAGCAACGGAGAAACATTCTCCTGGTTCCCTTATTTTCAGTGAGATGGAGGACACGATGTTCCTGCTCTTGCCCTGACAATTCCCAAGCATTAAAAACATGCACCTCCCTCAGTTTCAGCAATCCTGGGTGTTAAGAGCAATGCTCTGAGTGAATAAAAGGACTAGAAGCAAAGGCTGTATCATGGCTCCATCATGCAAGTATGTATTTTATATTTATGATATATAGCCCTGTGCAGAGGGGTAAGTAAAAAGCATAATGCCACGTGGAGCCCTAGAGGTGCTAAAATTATATGGCCATATACAAAAATACAGATAGACCTGTGCGTGGTGATATTCTTAGGCTGAAAAAAATTGCTTTGAGCAACGACAGCTGGAAGCTTTAACTCAGGTTGTAAATGAGAAAGGAACTTACAGCTCAAAAGTGGGTTACTAGTGGGAGATGAGTCTCACGGCTGCTGTCTAACGAGCAGCATCAGCTTGAGAGGAGGAAAGGCAAGGAAAAATGGACTGAGGAAGAGAAAAAACCAACAGACTCATTGAAATATGGTTGTAATGAATGAGGATGGAGGTGTTCCTTGGAACGTGGCTGTGATTCCTTTCTTCTGAGACAGCATAAATAGCCATTCATTCAGAAAAGCCCACAGGGGATTCAAGGGGAATCTGGCTTTAGAAGAAACCTAAGCATGCAGGAATTCTCTAGCTGAGAAATGTCAGAAGCTGGATGCCATATTGATCATTTAATGTTGGTTGATTTGTGAGGAAAAGGAGAGCAAGCAGGTGGGCACAGAGTTCTTCTTGCCACCATGAGCTGCCTCACGTCCATGAGCTGAGGTGTGTTGGCTCTGGGGTCAGAGCAGACCCTAGGAAATAAAATCCCACCTGCCTGCAAGGGGCTGTGAGAAAAACAGCCCTGACTCCACCCGTGCAAAAGGTGCTACAGAGCCTCTTACTTTGATTTAAATGATGTGTGAGGAAGAGCTCAGCGTGAAGGATGATGCCCTGAAAGCCAGCCCCAACTAAATGCATTGCTCTGGCACACAGCACACGCCTGTGTGCAGGCAAAACCCCTTTGTCTTTTGTATTTTCTCATGTCCTGTTTCTCACCTGCAAACTTCCCCAGCTCCTTACCCCTGAATTTGGCTCATTTTGATTTCAGCTTGTGTTGAGCAGCCAGTGCCTGTGCCTGGCCCAAGTTCACTCACCTACTGCTCTGGTTCCTCTGACTTTTCAGGGCTGTCCAGCCTTACAAGTGCTAAGTTTTTACTCCTCTTCCCACTAGAGTTCACACCAGGAGTGAGAGCAGGAAACTGATTTAGTTTGATTTCATGTTTTTAAATCCCTGGATGGTGAAGAAGGACAAAACTGGCTTTAGAGTTAAAGCTGTTCTGCATCCTACACTACTGCAACAGTGAAAGGCAGCTAGACTTTACAGCTTGTCCTACCTCTTCTCCTCTTAATCCAATTATTTCACAAGCATTCATGTCATTTTGTAAATGCTAAGGTGGAAGGCAACAACCCTGACAGCAATTCCTCTCCTCGTTATTCTCTCTCTATAGGCTGGCAAGATTGACAGCCCCTCATAAACTGTAGCTGAGAAAGATTTAATTTTCAGGGTAAACTTCTTATTGATTTAAGCCAAGTCTTAAGCACTGCTGATGACTTCAAGTCAGGTTTTGATCCTGGTGAAAATGATAAACCATGGGGCCAGAGCAGAAGAAAGGAGAACTTGAAGTAGGAAGGGTGGCTGTGAGGGCTCAGGGTTCACATGGTTTATTTTGAGGGTTCTCCTTGGGGAAAAAAAGGAGGAAATGGCTGAAGTTGGTGAAACGTGATGGTGCCTCAGCTTTCTTGGCTTATGCCACAGCTTGGCTGTCACCTGGGATGTCACCTCCCTCCCTCCCACCTCCCCTGCAGCATCAGCAGCAGTCTTGACCCTTTGTGGCTTGCTTTCCAGCTCTCTGGCCTCACACCTCCTCCTCCTCCTCCTCTGCCTCTCCCTGTGCAGCCAAAGCAGCAGCTTGGTCTGGGGCATTGCTCACTTCCTTCAGGAGGCACAACTCAGATCACCCTTATCTTCCAAGGAGCCCTGGGCCAGGCTGGAGAGAGCCACAAAATGAATCCAGTGCTAGCAGCAGCACGAGAGCAAAAATCAAATTAGCATGAATCAAATTATTAAGGATGAAAGAACATAAAACCTAACCCAGGACGAGCTCCGTGGAGTTTCTTTCAGAGCCTTGATTGTCCAGAGAAGATTCTGTGTCTGCAAGAAATGTGTTTTATTAAAGTTTCCTTTCCTTAATTTCCATTTCCCTGTCTCCTACCACTTTCCAGGGGACAGACGTGTTTTCCTTTGCTGTGCAGTTTCTCTTCAAGAAAATGAAATACATTGCAGGGCAACTTCTGTGACAAATGGTTTCTGGTCTATTTAGGCACCTCTGCCCTCAATTCATTCTTCTGCTTGTTCATGCTGGATGGAAGAAACTGCAGGTTTTCACTCTATTTTTGTAAAAGACTACTCTAGGTCACTTGGTATTTTTGATATCTAAGATGGGTAGAGCAGGATTAATCTCTATCATCAGCTTTTGGCTTGCCAATTTAAAGCAGATCTTAAAATAATTTAAAAATGTGTCTTCAAATTAACTTGGGCAAACCCATTATTGTTCAGCTTCCCAACATTGCATTGGCTGTGTCAGGGAAGTCCTGACCTGAACAGGTCTGGAATCTGAAGGACATGAAGTCCTTCACCAGCAGACTTGCTTCTTGTAGTTATTATTATAATATCTTCCTATTATATACTTGTTAGCCCTTAAAATTTTATGTCCTGTCAGAAAGGCTGTGTTGTCATTTCAACCTTCTGGAAACTGGACTGAGATTGAATTGAAAATTACACTTTCTTTTCCCTCACAGCCTCTTATATATTTTTTTTGCTCTACATGGGCAATTATTCGAGGAGAGAACTTGAACTTTTAAACACACAACTTTGACTTGGCCAACTAACTTAGAAGCTGGTCAGCAATTATGACAACAATGAGAAATAACTTTGCTTTCCAGAATAAAAAGTGACTCAGTTTCCCCTCTGCTTCCCCTTTTATTTTCTTTTATCTAGTTTGAAGAAAACATTCTGGATGCCTGTCTGTTCCTGATGGACAAGGCAGAGCTGGAGCTCTCTGGGCGTGGAAATCCCATCAAAATCTGCCGTGTTGCCTCTGCAGTGGTATGTAATGGATGCTTAATATGTGTCAGAAACAACCCATCAATCAAAGCCAGGCTGGTTTAACTCATGCCCCAGCGTGCTCACTCCAGCAGGTGCCAGGTCAATTGTCCATTCTGATCTCTGGGGTTTTATTTTGTTCCACTGAAGATGAAATACGTTGGCTCATCATAAGACACTGGGTGTTGCTCTGTCTGATGTGTAAACCCCAAAGGGCCTAGTCAGGTTGAGAATATTTATGTGTGCTACCTTGGCCCCAGAAGAAAACACTGTGAGAGCTGTCTTCTTAAACATGAGGTCCACAAAACTTACCACATTTGGGGTGGAAGTACCTAAACCAACCAGAAGCAAAGAATAAGGAGAAGTCTTTCCATAACTCCTTCCTTTCCAGCTGCTAGGCACCAGGAGTCATGCTGGGGGTGCAAGAGCAGTCCCATCCCTAAGGTTCAAGGTGGAAGACTCATTGAGGGTGTGGAAGGCAGAGGCTGAGTCCTCTCCTCTGCCTTATAGAGGTCTAAAATGATGACTTCTGATTCCCACTCTGGTCATTGAGCCAGTGGCATTAGATATTCTCCCAACTCAGCTACTAAAGTAGACTGTCCACAAAACATGGGCTGCTGGAGATGGATGAGCCTTTAACCCTCTTGTTGCACCATCTGCCCAAGCTTTAAGAGAATGAGCTCTTTGTCTTAGGTGACATTGAAATGGGATCTTCAGCCTCTCAGTGCCACATTCTGAGCATCTTTCATGGCATCATGTTCATTAGAATAGCTTCAGCAAAATGTACTGGGAACATCCCCACTTCTCTTCCTCTTTTAACCTTTTGATTAGTTCTTTCACCCCAGACATGGCTTTAGACTTCTAGATAGAAGTAAGCACTGAATGTGGTTCTTTCATCACTGGGCTAGTAGGTGTGGTGTCCCTCATGCAAGGACTGTGGAAACCTTAAGAAGAGAATAAAACAAGTTTATGGACCCAAAATGGGCTGGGATATTACTTAGGTTTTGAGCCATTCAATCATTTAGGGAGATGGAGAAGTTTGCCATTGGAAATCTAGGAATCAACGGACTTTAGGTCTAATCCACAAGATTAGGCCATAGTTGGGTAGAAGTTTTGGCCATCTGAAGTCTAGACCTCAGGAAGAAGTGGCCAAGAGCTGCTGAAATCCCACGTGTGTTCCTTACCCTTGTTCTTGCTCAAATTGGAAGGTGGTAGAGCTGAGCTCTCCTGAGGAGGTGCTCCCATGCTGGGATCCTTCTGAGGCCTCCTGACATTGCAGAGCAGGTGGAGTTGCCCCCTTCTTCTGCTCCTCACAGCCAAAGGAGAGCCTGGAGACCAACCCACTGCCCTGTCCTTGAAGTGCCTCTTTCCTTGGCACGTCTCCCACAAGAGTGAGCTGGGCACAACCCCTTAACCCTTTGGTTATGACTCTGAATTCTCATCTTGATCCAGTCCTAGGGTTCACAGCAAGTCGATTTTCTAATTATAAACCAGGACTTAATCCAGCCAAAAGCATTTAAAATGAGAATGGTGATTTATTTGGCTGGCGTGGAGCTGTTCCACATTAGCATAATTAAAAGGTACGGAGCAAATGAGCTTTTTGCAGAGCCTCAACTGGTTTGGTTCAGATGGCAGTGAGGAGATGTATAGCTCGTTAATGCCTATCAGGATAGCTATTAGTCAGCAAAACTCCTTGCTTTGGATCATCTTACCAGGGGAAAACTTACACAGCAAATTCCTCCTTGTTTTCGTGTCTGCTGGACCAGAGAAATTAGGTTCTACTCTAAAAATAACAGTGGGCTGGTTCTCCTCTCAACCTGCTGTGAATCAGGAGAGATTTTAGTCAAATCTCTGGGCTGATATGGACAGAAAAAGAGGAATGTTAGGAAAGAATCCAGCTTGGTATTTCTGGAGCTTGTTTAGGAGTGTATAACTGCTCATGCTTATTAAAAACACATAGCAGTACACATTAACATTAAAATTCATTAAACTGGCAACGTGGATACTCATTAATTTCACTAGTATTGTAAGTGTCTGACCTTCATCCAAAATTGTGCCATGATGGGAAATCTATGGCCCTTAGCAGGGTTGTTCTGTTCATCTCCTACCTTCACAATTAAAGATTTCTGTCTTCTTGGCTATATTCAGCCTCTCCCACCCTATTGTTTTCTGATGGGTTAAAAAGATCTTCATTATTGAGTCTCTCCCATCCCTAAGGCTCGTTCCCTCTGCTTTCAGATCAACTCCAGGGATGATGATGGTGTGGTTGCTGGCTCCTGGGACAATACCTACACTTATGGTGTTGCACCTTCAGCCTGGACAGGAAGTGTGGACATTCTCTTGGAGTATTACAGTTCTAGACAACCTGTGAGATACGGCCAATGTTGGGTCTTCGCTGGTGTCTTCAACACATGTAGGTATTGGGGTGAAAAGCTCCACGCTGATTCTTACAGAACAGAGAGAGCTTCTAAGTTAAACCAGCTAAAACACTTCCTGGTTCTGTGGTGTGCAGGAGTAAATAGTAGAGAGACTCAAAAATACATGGCCAAAATAGGTGGTCTCTCAATAGTATCTCCTGCAGCTTGGCTGCTCTGCCACACAAAGCTGTTAACTATTTATTGGTTCAGTAAAATGTGTTCAGGGACTCACGAGGGTAAATTTGGGAGCTGGAAAATGAGGCTTTTGGCACAGTCCACATTTCTGTCCAGACATCTGAGATGAGCAGGGGGCTTGTTATCTAGACATGTTGCATGGAACTATTACCCAGCAGGGGATATGTAGAGTCATAGAATTGTTTTGGTTGGAAAAGACCTTTGAGATCATCAAGTCCAACCCTTAACCCAGCACTGCCAGCTCAATTCTAAACCTTATTCCTGGAATAATGAGCAATCACCCCTATCCACCCCTGGAAATATTCCAGGTCAGGTTGGACAGGGCTCTGAGTATCCTGATCTAGTTGAAGGTGTCACTGCTAGTGAGCAGGAAGGTTGGACTTGATGACCTTTAAAAGTCCCTTCCAACCCATTCTATGATTCTGTGATCCAAAGGACCTGAGAGTTGTCCACTTCCCCCACTGGCTGAGGTCTCATGGTCTGTACTGGATGTTCCTCAGCCTCTGCACAACACAATGGGTTTGAAAAGCCTCTTGCAAATATTTCCTATGGATGCGATACATCACAGTGGCTTCCAGAAGCCACTTGGTCTTCTCTGCCCCTTGCCTCATCTGGATTTCTCTAGACCACAGCCAGCCACACCCCCATTTCTTCCACCTTCCCCCAACCTGGCCCCGAATCACCGCTACGCAACATTTTGCCTTCAGGCCCCTGTGAAACTGGGGCGATGCAGCAGAGCCCTGGAGCTCGCTGTGTTCGATGGAGAAACATCTTTATCTGGGGCAAAACCAGGCTCGGTTTGCTGACTAAGTTACTCCAGTCAGAAACCTGGCACCTTGAACTGCTGCGAGGATTGCTGAAGTCGAAACTTTGTTGAGTGGTACGAAATGAAACCGTTGTCCAGTGGCTGCTCTGACACATCCAGCTGCTGACCACTGCAGGGAGAGGACAGCAGAGGTCCAAACAGCCTTGTGCAGCTAAAAGGCTCCTTTTGAGCTGATTTGGAGTCTTAGCTGCCAATATTTTATCATCGTGACCAGTCCAGCTCTCCAAGGTTAGTGTATTGTACACCCTGGATAGTCACCCCTTAAAAAATGCTAAAACATTCTGAGCAATGCTCATTAATCTTGAAATTGTCAGACAAATTATTTTCAACGAGCCCTGATGGCTCCACGTGCTGGAAGCCTGGGAGGACACTTGAATTAAGTTGAATCAATAGGTACCTATGGTATTGGCTGCATCCAAGTAATTTGTCATCCAGGAAGTTGGGATGAATGTGCAGCAGCCTTGCACTTTATTGGGAGTCACAGGAGTGACACTCATGAATATACAAAACCCAGCAGCAAGGGCTGTTCAAGAGTGCAGCATCAGAACTGTTTTCAAATAGGGGTTTTAATAAAGATGTTTCCTCTTTAAAAGAAAAAAAAAGGCAAAAACTGCAAAAACCCACCCACCAAAAAAATAATCAAACCAACTTTGCTTTCTGCAGAACCACGTTGGCTCCTAAATTGGAAAACAGGAGCTTTTTCTTTGGCTGAGAGATAAAATATTTCATCTGGAGAAGCTGGGAGGATGTTGTCACCCTGCAGCCCCACTCTTCCCTCTGGGCTGTGCTCTGTGCCTAATTTATCAGCCAGGATGCACCACAACCACAGAAGCCTAATGATGCTCTACTGCACTTCAGACACAGATGTAGTGTTTCCACTGCTATTTCCCAAATTTAGCACTTATCAAATGGGGACAAAAGTCATCAGTGCTGCATTGTGGTGATCTGAGTGAGATTCAGGGGTAGGGGCTTTTATATTTCCCCAATCCTTTTGGGTAGACCCCATCCTGATGGGAGATGTCAACCAGGAAAGCTCTGAATCAACCAAAATGAGAGATTTTTCCATTAAATTTCTCTTTATCACAGTCTCACAATACTCCTGGGTTGCTAATTCTGGGAGACTTCATTTATTTTGCATTTCTTAGGACTTATTTTTCTTTATACCACATTTGGTCATGCAGTTGACCCATTGCACCCAGATTTGCCCTGAAAAGCTCCAGTGAGGTCACTGAGCAAGACTGTTCTAAAACTATTGGTAATCAGATTATATTACATTAAGATTACATTATTATTAAGAATAAGAATATTCTATTTCATTACATTATTATCCATTATTATATTATTAATCAGATTATATTGGTAATTAGATTATAACCACTGTATCATTGACTATATTGAATGCTCACCATTTGGGGAACAAATAAAATATTTACTGTATGTTGTATAAAAAGAGATGTGAGGAATTATTTGGGGATAATTTTATCCTAGTTTATTTCCCATTTTATTCTAGCTGTTAATAACTTCTCTCCCCCCATCCTGTCATCCATGAGCACAGTCCTTATATATTTCTCCTTCTCATCACTTTTCTCTCTGCCACAGTTCTGAGGTGCTTGGGGATACCTGCCAGGCTTGTTACCACCTATTCTTCTGCCCATGACAACAATGCCAATTTACAGCTGGACTTCTTTCTGGATGATGAAGGACAAGTGGACACCAAACTTACAAAGGACTCTGTCTGGTGAGTTCTGCTGGCAAGAGAACCTTTAAAGTGTCAACTAGATAAGTCCTAAGGGCCACGACAGCCATGCCTGTGGTTTATTTCATTCTCTGTGCATTAAAGAACACTGACAGCTTATGTAAAACAGAATGAAAGGGTTGTTAGTTGGCTGACTAATACAAAGGGCTTCTCATGTAAAGAGACAAACTCTAGGGGATCCCATGGTAGGACAAGTGGAAACAGCCTCAAGTTGTGCCAAGGGAGGTTTAGGTTGGAGATTGGGAAAGATTTCTTCCCCACAAGGGTTGTCCAGGCATGTCCTTGGCTGCCCAGGGCAGTGGTGGAGTCCCCTTCCCTGGAGGTATCTAAAAGCTGTGGAGATGTGGTGCTGAGGGACATGGGTTAATGGTGATCTGGCAATGCTGGGTTAATGGTTGGACTCAATGATGTTCAAAGTTCCTTCCAACCACATCTATTCTATGATTCTGCTGCTAATGTTACCATAGAGTGTACATTCAAGCACGCTGGAGGAGAACTGGAATGAGTTTGTGCTCCTTAGGGCCACATAAGATTTCTAAAAATGGAAAGAGGTCGAATGGGCACTTCCATCAGTCTGGAGCCAGGCTCAATAGCTATGGAAAAACATCCTGCTTGTTCTGCTTCCACCCAGCTCCCATATTCGTGGCCTGGTGTTACCTTGTGTACGTGCTGTCCCTGTCACAAATAAATACTTTCCAAAATAACTCCAGTTCAGCAGAAAAAAAGAAAACAAGCCAAAGTACCACACAACCTACCAGACTCCTATCACCAGACCTATAAAAAGAAAACTTGCTAGGAACAAGAAGTGGAGTCTACGTATTCTTTCTGGAGAAGACAGCCCTCTAACTTGTTTCTCAAAGCCTTCCTGTCTCCTGTCTGACAGAAGTGTAGCTTTTATTGATTATATGCCCTGTTCCATAGAAATTATGTGTGGGTTGTTGGCCCTCGAGCCTCTCCTCCTTAGAGTGAAGCAGTCAATGTGACCTCTACCTTCCTATATTCAGGAGATATTTGTCCTATTCAGTGTTAATAGACCTGATTTGTGTCAGCGATGCCTTCAACTCATCAGCAGAGCTGCTCAGCAGCATCTTTCATTAGTAGCTTCATCTCTGGGAGTTTTTATATGAATATTATAATAAACTCATTCTGTGGTGGAAGAAAGGACTGAGCCTGTTGCTGTAAGCTCCCGTAGGGTGATGTCCACAATCTGGTACCAAGAGGGAATCTAAGGAAAACAATGAGGTTCATTTACATCTGAAGCTTGGATCACAGCCTCACAGAAGGAAGAGACTGGAAGGGACCCCTGGAAGTCATCCCACCACCTTGCTCAGAGCAGGGGCTGTTACAACAGGTTGCACAGGGCTGTGTCCAGTTGGGTTTTGAACATGTTTAAGGGTGGACAGTCCACAACCTCTCTGGAAAACTTGTGCTGGTGCTCAACCATCCATCCCCCCAGTAAAACAAGTGTTTCCTGATGTTCAGACAGAATTTCCACTGTTTCATTGGTGCCCATTGCTGCTTGTCCTGCTGTTGGGGGTTGCTGAGAAAAGTCTGGCTCTGTCTTCCTCCCCCAGCTCCCCATCCAAGCATTTATACACATGGATAAGGTCCTACTGAGCCTTCCCACCTGCAGGCTGGACAGTCCCAGCTTTCTGAGCCTCTCCTTGTTGCCAGCCCTTGGTGTATCAGCCATCCCTTCTGGTTTTCTGTAGCACCAAACTTCTCCCCCTCTCCTAACCCAACCTATGAAACCTCTCAGCCACTTTTGACATTTCCTTTTCCTTCCCAACCTCTCCTTTTCCCAGCTGTTTCCCAAGACTTCTTCAGTCCTGGTTTGGTTTTTTTCCCATTCTTTTGGGACAGGGCCAGATCATCCAAAATCACCTTTGGTCCACTGAAATCTATTTACCACCTCACACGAGCATTCATCCTCCCACCCCACGTTTGCTTTTCTTTGGCTTCATTGCTTTGTGAACTGCCTTGTTCATCCTTTTATCCCCCTGGTGCATTTATTAGTACATGGTGCACATAACCCTTTGGGCATGACTTAATATCTTACACACCTCTTTTCATTTATCCTCTGTGTCCTTTCTCCTCGTTGCTCTGTAACACTCCATGGTAGCCCTCATGTTGACTTTAAATGGCTTGTGTCTTAACCTTGATTTTATTTTTAATGTCTCTTTTATTTCTTTTTTTTTTTTAGAGGACGAGCTCAAGGTATTTATAATGATTTTTTAAATGTATTTCTCACTTTTATTTATAATCCCCTGAAAAAAAAGTGGAAGCAAAGCTCTTTTTCTTTATTAATATATCATTTCTATTGCCTTGTACTGCTGGAGCTGAGCTGTCTTCAGGTTTTAAATACTCTCAGACTTCAGGGATACTTGGAGCCAGGATTTTTAGTCCAATCAATCTCTGAGCGTGGGGCTCCCTGTGAATGTTATCTGACATTTATCTATTTTTATTAAAGATCATCTTCTCCCTCAAGATAGGAAACGACGACAACAACAACAAAACACATCTACAAAATTACACAGACTTTGCAAAAAGTTATTTTTATAAATCTGGCCGGATTTGGGGCCATCAGTACTGTCTCTGTCCCCTTACTTTGTTCTCCTTGTCTTTCTTAATGATGATGTAAAGACACTTAAAGAATATTTCTCTTGGATGGGAATCAAGACTCACTTCTACTGTGAGGTCCAAGCAGCCCAACCTCAGTACCTCAGCAGAGACTCACTTGAAGTCACCTAGCCCTGGGATGGGTTCATCCATGTCCAGGCTTGTGGAGAAAACCCTCCTGAGACTCCCACTCACTTCCAGCTCATTTTTTTCTCTAATTTCTCAATATTATCACTGCCTTCCTCGACCTCAGTGCCTGAGCTGACCAGCTAATGAAAGGGCAGCAGCTGTTTCCAGCGTGTGCCTGTCTCATAAGCAATATGAAGTACCCTTCTTAAATTGTCTTCCAGGCATAAAACCCACCTGGTCATCTTTTATTAATTTCCCCATCGCTTTGTTTAGTCTATTTGTAATTATCTCTGTAAATATTTAATGGTCACTACATTGATCTGGGCAGCCATTCTTGCTTTCTTTAATGACTCGGGCTTGCTGTAGAATACAAGGACTACAGAATCAGTTGCACAAAGGATGGCTGGGGAGCCAGCAACTCATCTGTGCTCACTTCCACCAGAGAGAAGGTTCTGCTGGGTTTCAGAGAGGTGATGTTCCCCTCATCCTCCTTTCCTTCATGCTCATGTGCTTTACAAGTGATGCCCTTCTGTCCATTCACACTCAGCATCCTTAAGTGTGTTTGCTCTTTGCACGGCAGCAGAGCTGAGGAAGTTGCCATCCTGTTGAGCCCAACACTACACCAGTAAGAAAAGTCCTCTCCCCTAGGATTAATAAAGACAAAAATACAGAAAAAGCTACATTCCCTCTTTCCCATGCTATCATCCCCCTCTTATTTCCTCATCCTTCCCCCCTGCCTGCTCTTCAGGTTCTTCTTTTGCAGCGCACAAAGCCAGCGACACCTCTGAGTCTGGTTCAAAGTGAACGAGGGAAGGCTCCAGGGCAGGGATTATCTCTCTCACACATTGCCAGAACACTTTTCACAAACCCACCTACCACAAAGCGTGTCCCAATTCTCTGGTAGCCCTCAGCAGAGCATGATTCAGCACTGACTCCTCTCAGCAGCATCAAAAATTCTCTGAGCGTGCGGCATTTTCCTTGAATAATTCCTTTTTTCTGTAGTGCTGCTTCATTAACTCTCCTAACTGACAAGTTTTACCCTGATCCAAGCTTTCATTTCCACTTTGAAATGTCTTGTTAGACAAGCCTCAGATCCTTCCAACTCGGCTTCATGGCTGTTTTTCACCTATTATTAATGAAATGGTCAGAGTTTAACAATCCCCATTTTGGTTGCTAATATCGTTGCGTGTACTAGGGGCTGTATCAGCAGCTACACAGATGTAATTTTATTCATATCTGCTCTAGGATATGTATCATTTGCAAGAGAAATTGCCCTTTTTTCTACTGTTTCTTTCTCTTTTTTTTTTGCAGTAAAGGAATTCCAACACTTTGCTGGCTTTACTGCAAGAGCCTCTTCCTGGGCTGTCTTATTTTCTTGCTTGTGCTCTCCCTTGAGTGCCAGCAGCACTACAGGGAGGTACAAGATCTCTCTTTTCTGCTCATCTTTGAAGCATTCTGGGCAGACTGTGATGGTGCTGTAGTGTTTTTTTTAGTTTTCTTGAGCATCCAGCCAAGTGAAGGCACTTCAACCCTGAGCACCCAGGTTGAACCATGCTCAGATATTCACCTTTCACCTCCCATCCTAAAAGCAAGACTTGGCAAAACTAGGGGGGGTTTAATGGAAAGCTGTGTGTTGTAGAACTGACCTCCTCATTGGCATGGCACCCTTGGACAACCTCATAAAGAATCCACAATGAGGATGGTCTTCTAAAGCCTATGTGCAGGGTCTTCTTCTCAGCCAGCGTGGAAAGCAGCTAAGCACGTTTGTTTTGAGCCATGAAAGCAAAGCTACACACTGTACATTATGGGGTTAATCCTAAAATTTCTTCAGGAGAGGCATCAAAGATTCAGTTTAATAAGCTTTTAAAGCAATTTTTAAAGCAGACCACACTTTAATGGCTTGAAGAAGATTCCAAGCTTGCTTTAGCAGGCAGTCTAAAGAGGAGGTGTCTGGCTGGGAAGGGATTGAGTTTGTGTAGCTCTTCATATACCCTCACAGCCTCCAAGCACTAGGCTGAGACATTTACATCCAGAACATATTAGAAGAATCAAAAAGCTTCTTCAACTTGCAGTCAAGAAACTTCAATGAAGGATTGTGACCTTCAGGTTTTAAAAGATGGGCACCAAGCTTTTAGACCTAAAAATCTATTCTCCAAACAGCAGAACAAGAACTTTTTCCAACCTTCAGTTGGCAAATGTTGTTATTGAAGTGGTGGCAGGACATAAATACACAGGTTTGTTTTGGTCTCTGTACTTCTTTCCAAGAATTTAATGTTCTGGTCCCATCTCTTCTTGAAGGAATTATCACTGCTGGAATGAAGCCTGGATGACCAGACCTGATCTTCCTGTTGGTTTTGGAGGATGGCAGGTTGTTGATGGGACACCTCAAGAAACCAGTGATGGTAATATCATTTCAAGTCCTCCTTAGATCTCTTTCTGATGCCTGTGGCAAACAACGAGCTGATGATTGCTGAGCCAATGGCACCAGAAGATGGCTTCTAAAATTTTATAGAATCTATACAGGAGCCTGATCAAATTAATTCTCCTTCATTTTATGTCTGCAGTCCTTCCTAAACTTCCTGAGCAGGCTTTAGGCAGGAGAGAAGTGATTTTTCTCACTGCTGTTCCTTCCCCAGCCTGAATTTTCCAGTTCTTAAAAACTCTTAACAAATTTGCAGTGAGCTCTTTCTCAGTCTGTGATATAACTGGGCCCTCCCAAAATTATCTGCTTTAACCAAAACTGCCTGTAACTGTATTTCAGGCACTTGAGACTTTATGGTGTCTTTAAGATCCTGAACAATTAAGTTGTTTCAGTCTTGAGTCTGTGTTGTTTTGAGGGCAAATAACAGAAATTAAGCTTCACACTTCTTAGGAGTTTTAGTAAACTATTAAAAGAGTGCACCAAACCCTGAGAAATCTTCTTCTCTGAGAAAATACAGCCTTTTGATATGCTTTTAAATTAATTTCTTCTCTCATTTTCTCTCTCTTCTCCCCATAGGTATGTACAGGTGTGGCCCAGCCTCAGTTCAAGCCATCAAACATGGTCACGTTTGCTTCCAGTTTGATGCTCCTTTTGTCTATGCTGAGGTACATAGCTGCAAACCTTTAGTGCCCTGAGTGCATCAGTGGGACCATAGGTGAGGCAGAAGACAGGGCTCCACTGCAATCTGGGGATTGAGAAGTTACTTCCTGTATATTCCACATCAAAGAAAAAAAAACATCTCATCATTATATTTTGATAGGCAAGCTTTATTTTAGCATATGACTAATTTTAAACACGGGACATCGAGGCAAGTAATTAGTGGGACTTCCAAGTCAATGTGTCATTGTTTTGAGGGCAGATTGGATTCCCTTCCCCTCTACTTCCACCTTTTCCATTTAATTTTATAGGTGAATGGTGACATTGTTTACATAAGAAGGGAGAAAAATGGAACCCAAACCATAGAAAACATTGACACGACCCATGTCGGGCGGCTGATTGTGACCAAAGAAGTTGGAGGGGATGGAATGATGGAGATTACTGAGGATTACAAGTTCCAAGAAGGTGACTTGAAATGGGGTGGGACCCACACCGACGTGCATTTCCCCCAGTCACGTCTTGGATGGTGGATTGACAAACCTGTGACACTGAGGGAGCTTCGTGAAAAGCTGCCAAGGTGTCCTCTGGAGCTCTTTGACTCCACTCCAGAAACACTGGAGATGTCTTGATGAGAGCCCAAACTTTGCTACTCAGAAATGCTTTGGACTGAGGGAGCTGTAGTGGAAAAAAAAGGGTAGTCATGGAGCAACTCAAAGCATTCAAAGCAAGTCAAGGCTTCCTGTACAGTTGTGTAGACATCTCTGCTCAGGCCAGATGTCTGCACAGAGTAAATCAGCATAGCTCTACTTGTGTCAGTGAAGCTCCATCAATTTATCTGATCCAGCCTGAATCTTTAACACCAGCTCCCTTGGAAGCAGTGAAGTTCTCCTAATATTAACTTTGCCACAGGAAGTTTCGTTGTCCTCATCCATTCATTTCAGCTACCACAAACTATGGAAGATCATAGAATCATAGAATGTCTGGGCTGGAAGGGACCTCCAAAGGTCACCTAGTCCAACTCCCCTGCCATAAGCAGGGACATCTCCAGCTAAATCAACCTACTCAAAGCTTCATCCAGCCTGATCTTGAATGTCCCCAGGGATGGGGCCTCCACCACCTCTCTGGGCATTACAGGGATCTGTCACCCTCATACCGAAGAACTTATTCCTCACGTCTAACCTAAATCTGCCCTTTTCTAGCTTAAAGCCATCTCCCCTCATCCTGTCACTCCAAACCCTTGTGAATAGTCCCTCCCAAGCTTTCTGGCAGGTCCTGGCAGGATGCACCCTGCAGTCAGTGAATGGGCTGATGGAGCATCCCTCTTTCTTTCCTAAATCTGATTTTTGCTTCTCTCTAGGCTCAGCAGAGGAAAGGCTGGCTCTGGAAACTGCTCTGATGTATGGTGTCAAGAAGCAAATGCCCCAGGACACCACTTATCAGCCCCAAAAGGACGTGGACATGGAGTTCCAGGCCCAAAAAGCAATCCTGGGCAGTGACTTCAAAGTCACCATAACCTTCAGGAACAGGAGCCGCAACTACTACACGGCGACCACCTACCTCTCAGGCAACACTGTGTTCTACACAGGAGTCACCAAAAAGGAGTTCAAGAAACACTCCTTCAGTGCAAAACTGGAGCCCTCTTCATGTAAGACCTTCAGAGTTGTTTGCAGACCTGTTGGGGTTTTTTTTTAACTCTGTATCATTGACCGTCACCAACGTCTCTTCCCATGGGTAGAGTTCTAGTAGCATTGGGGTAGGAGGCTCTGTTGGGTATATTAGTACAAAAGAAAGCAAAGGAGTGCAGGTATTAAGCTGCCAGGTGTTGTTTTTCATGCCTTTAATCTCCTAGGGGTATCTCAGCAAGTGAAGGAGAAGTTCTGGTTCTCCAAGGTGTCGTTTACCTGGACATAAAGCTGAGTATCTTGTCTTGGTAGAAGCTGACAAGCTCTGAGTGGGTTCTGTTGCTCCCCTGGCTTTGGAGGACTGGCTGGTTCAGGATTTTGTATTTATTGATATATATATTTACTGAGTGATCTCAAATGATGTGTAACTAGAAGGTGCCACTAGGGAGGAGGAGGGGTTGCCAGTTGGGTGGTATCCCAAAGGTGAGTTATCTTCACAGCCACAGAATCTGCTTTTCCTCTGGACTGTAGTGGGGAGATCCTGCCTCCCTTTTCTCAGGAGAAAAGCTGTTCCTGGCAGCCCCATTTGGAAAACAGTGAGTGTTGAGGAGCTGCTGCACCCCAAAGCACTATGGAGCAGGCTGGTTGCACGTTTTTATTTGGAGCTGATTCATCTCCATGAAGTAGGAGTCTGCTTATAGGGATCTAGAGGTGAAAGTCAATAAAAACTCTATCTCCTGTCTATAACAAAGCCCTGACAGCTGCTTGCTGGTTCTTTCTGACTCCCCAACACCTTCTTGGGGGTCTGGAAATGGGGACTGGGGTGTTCCAACACTGCCTGTCACAACACAGCGTGAGGGTTTATCGTGGCTTGCATCAGCCACTGAATATTTGATCTGAAATACTCCAAAACTTTCAGAGATGTGGCTAGGTACAGTGAAAACTCAATTTCTGTTCCACAGTCTGAATTCTGTGTCACTTCTTTGATGGGGGAAGATTCAACGTTTTGTAGGAGATGTGCAAACACCTGGTTCTACAGTGAAAACTCAATTTCTGTTCCACGGTCTGAATTCTGTGTCACTTCTTTGGTGGGGGAAGATTCAATGTTTTGTAGGAGGTGTGCAAACACCTGGTTGACTTTCTGGCTGGGATTTGTGCTTGGTTCCAGGACTTCTTGCATCCAAGGTCTGTGTGAGGTGTTATTACCTAAAATACAGCTTGGAGGCCCATCTAGCTCCTCTGTGCAAGAAATCAAATGAATAGATGTTTAAGCATCACTGAGCCTCATAATTCTTTTTTTTTCTAAGTAAATGGGTTGCAAAAAGCTTCTTGAAACCGTGCTGGAGACTCTGAATTGACTGATGGTGTGAACATGGACTAGGGAGAGACACCTGAGAGAACATGGACTAGGGAGAGACACCTGAGAGAACAGAAGGTGGATTTTTTTTTGCATGTGTAGCAAAAGTACAAAAAAAACCCACCAGAAAACAGGTTTCAAGATATCATCACCTTTCAAGGTGGAAATCACCTTGTGTCTGAGCTACACTCATCAACTCGTGGAGTGCTTTGTCCCACAACAGGACACAAAACCTCCACGGGTTCCACCATCTCTGAAGGTGATAGACAAGACCTGAGCATGGATTCTTCTGCCCTTGCCTTGGAAAGGAGGGCAGGTGGAACCAGGTTTGGGGTAGATGCTGAGCAGATGGGTGGTGTGAAGGGAGGCAACAGCATCCTTTGCAACCACGTGAGAGTAATATCAGGGGGGTGATGGGAAGGCACCTTCCCAGGCAACCAGGCAGAAGCTGTAGGCTTCATTCAGAAGTGTCTATCTTTATATCCATGGAAGTAACAAAAAAACCTACAATAAAAAAGTGTCAAATGCATTTTTCCAGCCCGTGCTGCTGCGAGGATGAATCCAACTCAGTTTTCAAACAAGAAGCCACTGCGTGATTTTCCAGAATAATGATTAAAGGAATTGTGTGGGTTGAAAACATCTTTGAGGATTTGAATAGTTTAAACCTTCTAGTGCCTTCAAAGGTGCTCTCACATCTCCTGGGTTATATTTAGTTTTCTTTTTTGGAAAGGCTGTAAGGCAGCTCCGTGTTGTGTCTCCCTTGGCTTTCCCAGGTGTGAGAAGTGGCACTGGAAACTGAGCATAAAAAAAACCCTATTATTAATTTTTTTAATTAAATTTAAACTGGAAAGCTGCCTTTTGTTTCACTCTAAAGTAATTTCTCTTCAATTTTAAGTAATTTAATCATTTACTTTAAAAAAAATGAGAAATACAGGTTGGGGCATTGTGGAAAATTCTCTTACAGGAGATAGAGAGTAAGAAGGAGGGAGGAAGGAAGAGGGAGCACATCAAGTGGATTTAAGGCTGGCCTGGTAAATCCAGGTCAGGTGGGCACCAAGGGAATAGCTTTGAAACCAAATCAAGGAACTGGGTTTGATGTGAGAGGATCAAAAGAGTGGCAGAGGGGTGAATGTCACTTAGCCAAGTGAGTTCAATTATCTCAGCGTGGACAGCGTGTGTCACAGACACAATACAAATAATGGATAGCAGCAATAATCAGAGTTAACAGATGGGAGATCTTGATGTGTTTACTAGGGTTATAATGAATGTTTAGAGAGGCAGGAGCTCCAGGTCTATATATTCTGCCTGGTCACTTTGTTAGAGCAGGTCTGCTTCTCTGCAGCACATCCTCACCCCGTTGTTAGCCTGGGAATTGCAGTTCAATATGGTTCAAATTAATTATTCCCTACATCTCAACCCTCTAGCCTAAGGGGACTTGTTCCTTCCAATAATTATTGGCAGGGAGCACGTGAAAGCTCTCAGGAGGGCATGGCTGGTGACAGGAGGACCTTCTTGCTGAATATTGCAAGCAGGTCCAGTGCAGGACAAAGACAGATGCCCAGACGTGTCCTGGCGAGCAGGGAAGTCTCCCAGGTAGCCTGAATGGGCTCACAGCCCACCCGTGGCTGCTCTGGTGGCATCCCTGGGGGCATCTCTCTGTCAGGAAGAGGAATAAAGTGACAGGACAAATATGTCCAGGGGGACACGCAGAGCTGGGTTGGGCTGTCATGGCCTGTGTCTAGTTATTGCCAGTCTTGCTTCTCACTTATTTTGTCAAGAAACCTTCAGCAGTGATCGTGGACCTGGTGACAACCCAGCTCCTGTCCCAGGGAGCTCACAGCCTGAAAGGCAAGAGGGCAAGATAAGAGGGGGAATGGTGAGGTGAAGAAAGGAAGATTGTTTGGGGACAAAAAAAATCATTCTTTCTTTGGTGGGGGGCTACTTTTTTTTTCCAAGGCACTGATGTAAGAGGTTCTGACCCTGATGGGAGGTGCAATTAGGGATTAGATTGCTTCAGAGACCTTTTTCCTTTCCTCTTTCTCCTCTCAGCCAGCTCTTTCGACGTTGTGATCAAATCAAGTGAGTACCTGAGTGAGCTGCTGGACCAAGCCTCCTTTCACTTCTTTGTGACAGCACGGATCAATGAAACAGGGAAGATCCTGGCCCTGCAGAAGGCAACAGTCCTGGAAATCCCAGCCCTGAGGATCAAGGTAGCTCAAGGCTGGGGGGGAGGGAAGTTGAAGACTCACCTCAAATAGTGTGGTTAGTTTTGCACCCCTCATTACACTGAGGTGCTGGAGCACATACAAAGAAGTGCAGCAAAGCTGGGGAAGGGGCTAGAGCCACAAGTCTGGTGAGGAGTGGCTGAGAAACCTGGGGTTGGTGGAAAGGAGGCTCAGGGGAGAGCCCCTCCCTCTCAACAACTCCCTGGAAGGAGGCTGTTAGCGAGGTGCGGTCAGTCTCTTCTCCCAAGCAATAGGAGAAGCAATAGGACAAGAGGAAGCAGCCTCAAGTTTTGCACCAGGGGAGGTTTAGGTTGGACAGGAGAAAAAATGTCTTCACTGAAAAGTGTTGCCCAGGGCTGTGCCAGGCTGCCCAGGGCAGTGGTGGAGTCCCCATCCCTGGAGGGGTTTCCAAGCTGTGGAGATGTGGTGTGAGGGACACGGGGCAGTGGGGACCTGGCCCTGCTGGGGGAAGGGTTGGACATAATGATTTTAAAGGCCACCATTCTATGATTTTATTTTGCATATGGGCTGCTCCCTACAAGGCTGTCACATGAACTTCTGGGACTGGGGGGCACGTGTGGGGGTGCATATTAGAGCTTCAGTGTAACACAGGCCTTATGAAGCAGCAGCTGGAGTGTGCAAGGATGTGTAGATGTGTTATATATTGCACATTAAAGCCTGAGACTGACAGTAGTAGAGAGCTGAAGTGATCTTAGCAGAGGAAGGAGGGGAAAAGATCTGAGAAAGCTGGAAAACCTCAAAGGATAAGAGAGGTTACTCACTGGAGTGACTCAGGTCTTTAACTACTTCACAAGTCTGTTCTATTTAAAGCAACCTAGCACAGAAGCCTCTTGCTGAAGAACAAAGGACTCTCCTGTTGAGGTGAATTTGCTCAGGAAGCTCCTGCAGGTGCTATGGAAAGTTCCTCCAAACTAGGATGGGCAGCATCCCTTTGGGACCATGCTTTCAGCCTCCTGCAGGTCCAGGGGTTTCTGCAGGTGGTGGCATGATACCTGCAAAACTGTAGAAGCTTCATATTTGTGACAGGACAAGGACCTTATGTCATGTGGCAAAGGCAGGGCTGAGGTACAGAGTTCCTGGTTCATAACTGAGTGTCCAGATCAGCTGCCTCAGTTTCAAAAGTGCTGAGCCTCCTTCATGCTTTGCATGATGCCTTTTGGATCTGCTTTTTCCCTAATACTGAAAAAAGAAAACAATCAGAGCACCTTTTTAGGAAGATTTATATAAACATGAATAAAGCCCCCTTAAAATTCAAGATTTTGGAATAAATCTCCCTTATAGACCTTTCCCCCCCTGTATATTTATTATTTGAACCAACGTTCAGGTTTCCATATGATAATTTCTGTGGTGACTGCAGCCTGCTGAAGAAGCTCTTCAAAAATTGTAAGTCAAAACTACAATGAAGTTTGTTAAAAAAAAAAATAATCCACTCCCTTTCATGGGCTGCAGAAATGTCACCAGGGTCTGATCAGATTATTGGTATTTTCAAACCAAAAGCTTTTTGGTTTACTGAGTGTTCTGGAAAGGAGGAAGACAACAAAAATAAACTCTGCTTCCAATATCTGTCTTTCCAAACCTAGTTTGGGTTGGAAAGGACATTTCAAGGTCATCTCATCCAACCCCCCTGCAGGGAGCAGGGACATCTGCAGCTAGAGCAGGGTGCTCAGAGCTTGGTCCAACCTCCCCTGGGATGGTGCCAGGGATGGGGCAGTGACCACCTCTCTGGGCAACCTGGGCCAGGGGCTCAGCACCCTCAGCATCAAAAATTCCTTCTATGCAGTCTAAATCTCTCCCCTTTTAGTTTCAAACCATCCTCCCTTGTCCTCTCACAACAGGCTCTGCTCAGAAGTCTGTCCCCAGCTTTCTGATAGACCTTCTTTAAGTCCTGAAAGGCTGCAAGAAAGTCTCCCACATTTAACCCTACAGATGTCATCACGGGGTGGATTATTCTTCTCAGCTTGCAGAGCGTTGTCTTGTCCTTGTCTTGCAGACCCAAGGTGAGATGGTGGCTGGTAGAGAAATGTCTGTGACTGTGGAATTCACCAACCCTCTGAAACAAGCCCTGGAGAACGTCACGCTGCGCCTGGAGGGACCCGGCGTGCTGAGAACCATGAAAAAGGAGTTCAGGTAGGGAGGAGAGCACAACTAGCTGGGAGTTCATCTCCAGGAGGCTCACAAGAGACACTTAACTCACGCTGGGCTGGGTAATTCCACTCAGCCACTCTCCTTACCTTCAAATCCAACCCCCAGGGGAGCTGTAGGTCTCAATGCTCCAAAGAAGTCAGGCTGTCCAGAGAGCCTCTGAGAGCATTTCATCTGCTCAGGACCAGCTCTGGAGGAAGGGGCAGTGCCTGGGGGTAGTTGCTCATGCAGCCTGAGTTTACTTTTTCACTGTGTGACATTCTTTTTAGCACTTGACAATAACACCTAGGAGCTGCTCTCCCAGAAAGTCAGATTTATCCTCCCCATCAAGCGGTTACTGCCAAGCACCCAGGGTGTGCAAATCAAGCCCTGGGCTGGTTTTCAAACAGGGTTTTGCTCCCCTCATGTTATCCACGATTATAGAAGACATTCAGGTACCTCAGATGATCTTTGCAGGCTTATGTCAAGGCACAAAAGGTGTGTGGGATGCAGCAGAACCCACTGGGTTGGCTGCAGCACGTGTGATCCCTTGGCATATATTCCCAACACCCGCTGCTCCCAAGCCTAAGGAGAAGGAAAAGCACCTCCCTGATACCTGGAGCTGCACCTCATGATGCTGCAGTAGCACTTCCACACTGAGGAAATTGTTTCCTAAACCTTCTTTCCATGGGTTCAAGGATATAAACTCAGCATTAGCCAGTTCCAGGATACAGAACTGAGATCCTTGGAAAATTCTTGGGCAGGCAAAGCAACGTTATCAGTCAGTTATCAGCTGATGGTCCCCAAGTGCATGGAAAAGGAGTTTGAAAAATCACCTGTGCTTCAGCAGCTGCATAAATTGCCAGCTTTATCTGCAGCTAGCAGAGGAGGTCTGAGCCTGGCTGCACCTGGGGATTAAAAAAACATCCAAGCCAGTCTCCAGAGTGGAGCTGGGCAGAAAAGTGCCTGTGGAAGGGCATCACCCTGCGCTGGCTCTGTGCCTGTGGTGAGCTGCAGGAGCTGCTGAACGTGACTCAGCACGGGCCACACCACTTCCACAAGCTGCAGCACAGCCTGCCAGGCTGCCCAGCCCTGCCATCCTCCCCTCTTCTTCATCCTTCTCATCCAGGAGCTGCTGAGGGCTGCTCTCACCTTCAAGGATGCGGGAGGTGGCGGGTGCATCAAAGGCATAGGAATTCAGGAGATAAATGACTCATGAACTGACATAATTTTCCTTCCAGTCCCCCTGTTTTCCTCTTCTCCCTTGGCATCACTGAAAATGGAAAGGGAGCAGCTTAGTCATTGTGAGGTTTAACTCCTGTGAGATGAATGGAGGCTGCAGGTTACCCACGCAAAGGACAGAGCAGGGGCCAGTTGTAGTTTATTTAAATAATAATCACATTTGCCTCCATGCATTCAGAGTGATAAATGGCTGGGGTGAGGTGATGGCTCAGCATATTACACACGACCATTCATCACTGAATTCTCTCCCAGGAAAATCAGATTAGAGTGGCTTCACTCTGTGTGCAAAGAGAAGCAAACCTCTCCCAGGCTTTCCCCACCCTTCCACTGCTTCCCTGTCCACCAGAGATGGATGGATGGATAGATGATAGACAAGTAGATGATAGATAGATAGATAGATAGATAGATAGATAGATAGATAGATAGATATTAGCTTCAGAGAGATGAGGACTTATGGAAAAGGCCTTGGCAGCAGCAGTTCCTACATGGGGCACAGTCTTTGCTTGACAAATGAGAATTAACCAGGCAGTGATTGATAGTGGTGAAGGGATTTTAGCTAAGCATGCATTCCCACTAGCAGGCAAGTCACTTTCTACATGTTAAAGCTCAGCTAGCATTAGCATTTGTACAAAGAAGCAAGTTGGTTGAGAAGGAGGAGAGTAGACAAATAGGAAAAGGTGGATTTGGTTTCCCAGCACAACTGTTTTCTTCCTCTGCACACAAATATATACATTTTTATATATATATATATGTATACACCCAGAAATGACAGCAATATAAATCAGAGATGGTAGTGCTGTGAAGATGTGATCTGGAAACCTTCATTCTCAGAGAATCTGGCCTCCCAGTGATCCAGAATATAGACTGAACCTTGCTGTGTCTTCTTCACTTTCCAGAAGGATAATCCCTTGCACATAAACTCTCCATCTAAAGAGGTATTTAACTTTGTGCAGCAATTGAAGCCACTGCTTTATCATGCTGCCCTTTTAGTGGGCAGGCCACCTGAAGGGAACTGAATATCTCTCATTAAGACCAAAGATAAAGAGGGCAGATATTTCTATCCTGACCCTGGGACGTGGCATCTGAGAGTCAAACCCAGCCAGATGAGAATTAGAAACAGTGACTAAAGCTTGGGCTTGCTTTACTCTCACTTTATTCAGGTGTTTGCAGAAAACACTGGCTAAATTCATCATCCTCTCCCTTAATGCTGAGGAAAAGAACTTTTCTTGTTATAAATATCCCCCCACTACACTCCCTGCTCCAGTGGTTCTTTTGGAGCTGCTGTAGCCTGACATCCCCCAAACACCAGCCTCCAAAATCTGCATACAGAACATAGTCAAAGCACTGAAAAATAAACACAGAAACCCAACACTTGAGGCTCTCTGAGCATCTTAATTGTAACAAAAATGGAAAATCAAGAGCAGCACAGAATACAGTTGCTTGATGGGGTGAGTTATCAAGAGTCATACATGATGTAGAAGAGTAATTGCCAACAGCAGGACAACCAGGGACACTTGGACCTACTGGCATGGGCATGAAGAACATCTGGAGTGGCCAGTGAGGAGATCTGCTGATGTTGTGTCTGTGGGAGGGTGGTTCAGGGGAGGAGCTGGCAGAGGGTTTGTGTGGGAATGCCCTGGACACTGCGTCACAAGGACTCATTCAACCATTTCAGGAATCACCAACAGCCTTCAGGGCATACTAAACAGGTAATGTGGAATTACAGAGTAGAAAAAAATCCCTTAGCTCTAAAGAAGATCATTCTGTAAGTGCTTGAGGTGGAAGAGAATGGATTCCCTTTGGAAATTTGAAGTTATCCTGGAGGAAAGGTTTTGACAGAGTCAGTGTTGAGAGGAGTAGATGATGGAGGGAATAATTTATAGGACACTTATGAGAATGAGGGAAACATGAAAAAATTGAGACCTCCCCCTTTGGTTTCTGCAGCTGGGGGTCAGGCTGGGAGCACTGGCTGGCTGACCACAATCCTGTTGCTTTCTTTTTTCCCTCACAGGCAGATCCCAGCAAACTCCACCTTGGTTTGGGAGTTAAAATGCATCCCAAGACTCCCAGGGCTACGAAAGCTGATTGCAAGCCTGAATTGTGATGCTCTGAGGCACGTGTATGGGGAGCTGAACATCCAGATTCAGAAACCATGAACCAAGGGGCTGCCTTCATCTCTCACGTCTCAAAATATCCCTTTGCTAAAGGCTGGGAGGGGGGAAGAAGTTGAAATCTGCTTGTTGTTAGTTGGGTCATCCTTGTGCTGAATAAAATTCAATAAAGCGAATTAAGGGGGAAGATTGGGGAGAGCATCAAAAAGTGGCTGGATAGTGAATGATTTGAAATGGGATAAATGTAATTAAAGGCAATTCTAGGCATATTATTCCTATTCTTTTGTGTTAATGCTGCAAGGAAGCCTGAGAAGCTTCACTCACCAATGTAGCCTGAACTTCAGTTTTAATTAAGGCCTGATATTTCACTGGAAAGGGGAAAAAATAAGAACCCAGCCTTATAAATTCTTAGATTGAGTTACACAACCCTGTGGTAGATGGTCCAGGCTGCAATAAAAATGGGTATTTCCAGCTAGTGGGACTGCACTGCTTTATCTTACCTTGTTATAATTTCCCAGCTCATGAAGAGCTCACTTTGCTGGAAGCATCTCTCAGGGTGTGTTATCTGAGGAATATTCCCAGCTCCTTGTGTCCCTGTGCTGCTTCTCCCACTTTTTTGTGTGTGAAGACACCCACACATACTCCCTCCTGTATTTCATGGCCTCATCCCCCCTGGTTTGCTGCTGATAGACTGTTCCTCTCCTCTGCTTGATGAAAATCAAGAGCTTTTTATGCCCTTACTCAGAGTTTATCCCAGCAAACCTGCATTTCCTGGCCACATCTCCTGTGTGTGTTCTCTCTTCACCCTTTTCTGCCTTTCCTGCACTGAAGCCAGGGATGAGTTTAGATGAAATCACACCTGAAACTTCCCCAGGAATCACAACCCCTGCAGAATGAAGCCCTGTTACATGACTGTGAGAGAAGTTTCTTCACCCTGGGTTTCCCACAGCAGAATCTGGGGCATCAAATCTTATAAAAAGGATTTATTGAGGTGATCCAGTGGAAAAACAGCTCGAGCTGGTGCCCCCAGAGAGGGACCCTGGAGAAAGACATTTTGGAGCACTTACACCTTTACAATCTAAGTTCCTTTTCCTCACACAATGATTTGGTCCAATGGGTCATATTTGGGGCTGGGATCTTCTTATTCTTTCTCTGTCTCCAGGCTGGTGGTTCCTTACTCATCTTCCACTCCAGTGGAAGAAGGATTTAAATTAAAGCATGTGTGGCTGCACTTGTGTCTTGTGTCCTGTCTTTGGATCCAGCAGCACCACAGACATCACTTGTTGCATCTTAATAGTAGAAGTTAAACAGGTCACTTCTGAGCCATGCTAGAGATGCCTTTTTTTTTGGGTGCTAAAGAGAAAACCTTATCTTTATTTAAACAAACCAACAAAAAAATAATTACAGGCTCCATTTAATTATTTGCCTTCATTTTTTCCTTCTGTTTTACCAAGTGACTGCTTGGTGAAGGTGGCAATTTCCAGAGCACATCACAGTGCCAGCAAAGAGAATCCTCAGAATCCCCCTGGAAGTTGCTTCAACATCTCAGAGTGCCCAGTGTGCTCCTAATGAAACTTTTACCCACATCCCACTTCTGAAGTGTGATTCTCTCTGCTAAAAAGGTCCATTTTTTTTCCATCACTCTGTAGGTTCATAGAGTTTTGAGATGTTCTGCAATGCTATCTGCTTTCTGCTCTATTTCAGAGTAAATATGTCCCAGTCTCACTGTGGTTACTTGCTGTCCTTCAGGTTGTTTTATCTGACCATAAATTCCCTGTTTAGAATAACAGTTAAATGCTGCTGTGAACTTCAGCCAACTGAACAGCCAAAATCTCATGGAATAAAGGGTAAATCTGGTGAGCTGTAACTCAGTTTTAATATTCTTCAGCTCTATTTGCATTTGGAAGTGTAATAGGAGCAGATCTGCAGAGTGAAGCAGCTGGTGCCAGGCACCCAACAGCTACTCTGTGTTTTGGAGGGTTTATGTTGGACTTGCCCCTCTCTGAAGGGCTAGGAGCACTTGGAGAACCTTTGGCACCCCCTTCAACCCCCTCCCTCAGACCAAAGAGCTAAAAGTGCACACCAAGACCACAACGCTGATGTGTACCAAAGCATGGTAAGCTCTTCTTTCAAATGTGTGTCCCTGGACAGAAGATGAGAGGGATGGGCAAGAGCTCAGCATCTGTGCAAAGAGCTCATCAAAGTGCAAAGATCATCTGCCTGGTCAACGTGATTTGAGAGCTCTGAGGCCTTCAGTATTCCCTTTGTGGAGGTCTACTGGTAGAAAAGTATTCACATCCATTATAAACCAGTCAAAAATGCACCTTCAGAAGTAATGACATGAACTCTTGATAGTCCAACTTCAGCAAAACAAAAAATCCCACCTCCTCCAGGTCTGGTTTCTTATCAGCAGGACTTGCTGGTGTTCTCCAGAGGGTGATTTAGTTTGCTCCCTGGAGGCATCTTCACACTGATCTTGGGATTGTACAAGAGGCACATTTTGGGAGCTGGTCTCCTTTTAACCCCATGCAACGTGCTTCCCTGATGTGCACCAGCTCCAAACCCCCTCTGCAGCTGTAAAAGTTTCCCCTGCTCTTTGCTTAAAACTTGGTTGGGTTTGTTGTCTTTTCTAAAGTAAAAAAACTTGAGCTAATTTAGGCACTGTTATAAAGATGATGTTCCAAAGCCTCTGCTGCCTAAACAGTTTGGTTTATGGGAAGACAGAGCTCAGCTTTGCACAGGGCCATTATAAACCCCACTGCAACACGGGAGTGGATTATTTCCTGCCTTTCAAAGTAAGGTAGCCACAGTTTTTACATTATAAAACAATACTTTGTGCTCGAATCAGCTGCCTCTGGAAGAGTCTCTAACTCATAAAACCCATTCCCAAAGCTCTGCTGGCCTCAGCAGCATCACTGCTGCCCAAGGAAGAAAAAATACCTCTGTGTTCAGAGACGCTCAGCACTGGGAAGTGTCATCATCAAAGTGCAAATTAACTTCCACCCAACTGTGGGGACAACCAAAGGTGTGAGGTTAGGCAAATGGGGAAAGCCATCATTTTGAGGAGGAGAAAACCAACCACCACCAAAAAAACCCCAGAATTCAGTCTGGAGGGTCAGGAGTATAAGTAAAATATTAAGTGTGATATCGCTGCCTTTCTATTGAAGCATCAAGATGTTCTTCTAAGACATTGGGCTTTTTTTTTCTGGGAAACATCATTTAGTTTGTTCAGCCTTTTCTTAGCTGGACGACCAAAAAGCCATGGAGCTAATGGACCAGGTGAAGACACTTCTCTGCAACACTTCAGCTCCTTACTGCTGCAAAGACACCAGCTGCTTCTTTCTCCATCGTGATATTTTCCACAGCTCCTTCCATCCTTAGTCTGCCTCTTCAGTGTGGCCCTGAGGCCACAACAATCTACACCACGGGCTTTGCTGATGGTTCTTCCTCTCTCCCTGCAGTGCAGTGGTCGCAGAGGTCCCTGGCCAATCTCCCCAGCCAGCCCCAGGGATGCTCTTCACCCTTTGCCTGAGAATTATCAACCCTCTGGGGTTGGTGCTCGTTTGCTGGATCCCCTGTGCTAGTGCACAATGCCTGCCTGTGTTTTAACGACCTGCTTACATCTTAAAAATAACTTTTTAGCAAACAATTCTGCTTTACCTTCTCCCCTAAGCCAGACAATTCACTCCCATCAGGAGTTTTAGATGTATCACTTCTCCTCATCCTTTCCCAATAACAGCAATGGTATTTTTCTAGGGAAAGCTCCTTGCCTGTTAACCATTCCTCTTCTCCTACAGCTTATTTCCTCACTGGGATCATCATTCTCTCCAATATCTTCATTGATTTCTTCTGGAAATGTTAATAAAACTTAGTTCTTCATACACAGTGAGCTGTAAACTGTCAGGATTTTCAGAAGTAACAAGCCAGTTTTGCAAGTTCAACCTGAGATGCTGCAAGAAAGCTTCTTTTTCCAGAGAATGCTCCTCTGCCTTCTGAAAATTACTTTAGCTACAAAGTACCACCCACTGACCTCTGGTCCTGAGCGTGGAGCCTCAAATCCAGCCCAGCAAGCTGGAAATAGCTGCAGTGACCTCCCCCAGGGCTCTGCCTCCAGCCTCCTCTGCTGCTGGCACGACTGCTGCAGGAGCCTTTGCAAAGTTACCCCCCCAACCTGCCCCTCCCACCCCACACACCTCCTCATTCTCCCCTGCAAAGCCTCTAACACTCTCTCTTTCAGCTGGTGAACCTGCCAGCAAGGTTCCCAGACAGATGGCAAGTCTCACGCATGAGAGAAATGTCTATTTCTAGCCCCATTTTGCAGAACACAAGAGCTCCAGAAGAGGTTTGCTCATGGTCTCACAATGAAATCACAGAGCTGAGCTGGGCAGGACATCCCTGGACCTCCATCCAGCCTCAAGGCCAAGGTGGGACCTTTCTCCTTGCCAAGAGCCCTGCTGCTCTTTCAACTACAGCTAGTTGGTCACAGTGGCCACATCTTAGAAGTCTGGGTGGCCACAGGCCATGAGGGAGGAGTTTTCAGGCTGTGTCTGGGTTTAATCAGCAGACTAGAAACATGCAGCATTGCAGGTGACTGGAGAGCCCAGTCAAGGTCACGTTGTCTCAAGTGGAGAGGTGGGATCTCCTCAGACCTTCAGGCTTTTCCTTTGTCTTCATCTCACTGGCACATGGAGAGGGTCTTGCTGTCAGGAGCAGTGGTCTCCTCTCTTGGAAAAGGAAAGGTTGTAGGCACTGCTCAACAGAGTGACAGCTTTATGCTCTCTCCACTGCCTGGGAAGTTGTTTTATATGAGCAACCAGGCAGGGGATGGTTAGGAAAGGCTGGAAAGCAGTGAGAGGAGGTCCTCAGTCCAACCTATCATTGAGATCATTGAAAGAAAGGTGGACGTCCACCACCCTTGGTGGTGAAACACTAGAACATGTTGCCCAGAGAGGTGCTTGATGCCCCATCCCTGAAGGTTTCACTGACTGAAGGTCAGGTTGGCCAAGGCTCTGAGCACCCTGCTCTAGCTGCAGATGTCCCTGCTC